TCTGTCTGTCTGTCTATCTATCTATCTATCTATCTATCTGTCTATCTGGCAGTCCTCAGGCGTGCCGGACTGCGGCAGTGAAAGCCCTGTCTATCTATCTGGCAGTCTTCAGGCGTGCCGGACTGCGGCAGTGAAAGCCCAAAGCGGCTTTGAGACGAGCCAAGCGGAAGCGAGCTTTTGTGCTGGGTGGGTTAAATTAGTTTCACCCTCCTTATTTGTGTGTTTAACTTCACTGCATTTATTCATTTAGGCTGCGAGGGGCTCCTGGAGCACTCTGGCTTCTGCCCCTTCTGGTGGGTTAACAACCGATTTTCTTGGCGGCAGAGGTCATCTGTAGCCCCCCACGTTCCTGTGCCTTGCTGACATTCTTTTAGTGGCTTTTCTGTATTGCTATTTTAACTGAGGAGATTAGCAGCCGGGGAGGAGAGAATCTGCATTTAAATGGCAAGTGGCCCTTACGGTGAGTCTTAGTGGTCGCTTGAAGGCTGCCCCTTGGCAAGAGGGGCCAGGTCCACGTTGTGTTCCTGACAGCACGTTTATTAGTCTGGTTTCAAAGACAAGTAGTGAGCTGCTCTACTGGTGCTGCACAAGCCAGTGTCCCCTAACTGTAGCCAGGCCTCTCTTGGGCAAAGACAACAATGAATATGATTTGTGAAATGTGTAAAGACACATTTCTGGCTATGCTGTTAAGCATTAAAGCTGTGTGGGTTGTTTTTTTCTTTGTTTTGTTTATTTGTTTTGTTTTTATGTATAGATCTTAATTAAGCTATCGTCAGTTCTGATTTTGTAAGCATCCTAATTTTCACGTTACTTCTAGAACTCTGCTTTTTGTAGACACTTGGGCCTTTTAGCATGATTTTGTGCCTCTGTGAAACTTGGTGTACTGTTTAAGGTATTCTAAATGGTATTTCATAGCTGTTAAAAAACAGCCACTTTTGAGATTACACAGTGGAACCAACTTCATCTTGATAGTCTGTAAACTGCACCAAACATACACACCTATCAAATTTTTATCTCCTGGCCTAGATTTGCAGGGCTAATCGGAAATTCTGATCCACTGTTGGCATTTGATTAGACAAGAGTTATTTATAAATATTTCATAATGGATGATAATATTTACATCATGAACAAGGCAGTCATGTTTTAGCAATAATTCCGTGTAGTTTGCAGAAACAAAGGATGGAAATTTTAAGTCTCCAAGCATCAGAAAAAAAACCGATCTTGGATCGTTTGAAGACCCGAGCTTGGAAATCTGGAAGCTTTTTAAGTTGTTAATGCATCTTCAAAGGGCATTTCTCACTGAATAAAATCGTATGCCTTGTTTGGCTGTTCAGGAGGCAGGTGCCGCTATCTAAAATCACAGGGACTTCTAAACAGTTGCCAAACAGTGTGTGAGATGCTGCACAAGTTATATTTTCTCTCTTAAGTTAGTTCAGTTCTCAGTCTTTAGTATTCTGCACAAAACCTGTTTCTTTCAGAGGGAGTTCACCAGGAAAAAGGGATTCCATCCTGCTCCCAGCTGCGTTTGGTTTCCTGTCTGCTGTGGGCATGGCAGCCGCGGCGTGCAGAGCTGCGTGGTGCGGTGCGCTCTGGATGCGATCGCTGGCCGCCCCAGTACGGAGTAAGTAATGATGCCTGTGGGCAAGTGCTCTAGTAAATTTGGGTTCCTTCAGAGGCTCTTCCCTCTACTAAACCCAGAAGTAACAGAAGCGCAAAAGCAGATTTTTATTTGAACTGGATCAAGTCTGGTGCTCCGTGTTCTCTGTTAATACCTGCACTCCCTCCCTTGAGGTATTTATTCTCTGTTAATAGTTCATTATGTTTTGATTTCATGGCTATTAAAATTTTTAGTGTCATCATGTAACGCTTCTCTAACTTATTAATTAACTTTTAAATAATACACCTCCTCCCAGTGGTAAAATACTCTCTTTCAAGATTTAAATTTGATTTTTCAGACTTAGAAGGAATGCTGAGAAAAAGCTATGGTAAAAATCTCATTATTTTAAATAAACAGGGAACATGTGAAAATGAGGAATGTTCTTTCTTGGATTTTGTCCATATTTTAGATGCTCAGTAGAAAGATGTAGGGGAGATAGTCAAGGTAGTAAAAAAGAGGACAATAGGGGAAATACAGTAAACATATTAAATTTCAGAACTTGGTAGAACAAGGAGAGGAAAATAGGAAGTGTTTGTAGTAATAGCATCTCAACTCTGTCCTGTATTTACTGAATGTGGTAGACTGCTGTGGTATAACAAATATACACAGGGTTTTTCTATGCATGATTTTGAAGTGTAATAGCTGTTGAGTCCCTACTTTTAGTAGTGACAAGTATTTTTATGGTTAAAAAGAGTGATGTCACGAAGAGTCACCTTGAGGCGTAATGTATCTAATTTGGGTAGGAAATATTGAAAATGCAAAAGACCGGATTTGTAAAATAAAGTGTTGTACTCGCGAGGCTCAGAACTGGTATGTGAATAGAGAAGTAAAGTTAGAATGAAGGTGGTGTGTAAGAAACTTACATTTAGAGAAGGAAAAAAATATGGTCAATATACTTACAGTGTCATGATCATAGGAGAGATAGCCACACACAGGCGAGCATTTTATAGGTACCAGCAGAGTTCTTCATACTTACGTATGTTTTCACACACGTAATGAATGTGTGTGTGAATGAATGGCTATGAATTTAAAAAATACTGGTTTAAGTAAGTGTTCCCTGTAAGCTCATGTGCTAATTATTGTTGTCTGTGTAAAGAATATATTCTGATGGTTAAACCTTCATGTATTTTATTTATACTGTGATTTTTTTTTATTTATTTTTTGTAGGAAAACTGTACAAGGGAAAGTAGATTTTAGAATGTAGCTAACTATAGATTGTATTCACGACTGGCCTAGAAATCAGGATAGTAAAGTGAGCTTCTATTTAGGCCTTTTTTTTTTCTTTAACTTAAAACTGATTATAATAATAATCTGTGATTAGGTCTTTGGTTCTTAGAATAAAAATGTAGATGTGACATTCTTAAATCTGGCACAGATTTGCTTGTTTTACGTTAGTGTTCTTTACTTGTTCTTGCAGATGGAGCTGTAAGTCATCCTTGCCATAAATCCACTTACTCGGTTCTCCCCGATGACTACAACTGGTGCGTATGTAAATCTGCTCTGATGCGTTGCCATCCATACGGCAACTATTGCAGAGCTACTTGCTCTGCTGTGAGGCTCTCATATCATGGTATGAAATATCCCTTCTGTCACTCTGACGTATGTATTATAGCCTTAACCAAAGTATTGTTTCTGATTGTAATAATTATGAAGCTAATATTTCAAAAACGAACGTGATGAAATGCAGGGTTCACATCCTCAGTGTGGTGATGACCATCGTACCACTACAGGTCTCTCTGAGGAAGACCAAAGCTAGTTCAAATGTCATCGTTTTCACTGCTGCTAGTTCTTTGGAAAATGTCCAGGCACTTTCATGCTATTATATGGCAAACTTGAGTAGAAACTGGAAAAGATTATATAAATACAGTGAAGAACATGGTATCTGTGTCATTTAAGCTATTGGGAAGGAAGCTAGTGTGTCGCAGGTGGTCATAGGGAAGGAAGATGAGAAAAAAGCCATACTCTCTCAAGGAAAATCTTAGTAGAATTGTGTTTTCCATGCTCACCATCTGCAAAATGCACAGATGTGAACCCCAAATGATCATTATCCTTGTCTCCTACAGTTTTGTGTGAAATATATTCAGAGACTTGCAGACTTTCTTCCAAACTATATTTCCAGATATCTTTTCTTTCTTTCCAGCCTTTCTTCCTTTCCATCTAGAAGAAAGCACGAAAATATCTGGAAAACAACGTGAAGAAGTTCCCATCGTGTATTTGTGCCTCTCTCTGCTTCCCCCTTTTTAATACAGATTTAGTTTATTTAAGGTTCTTGAAGTCTTAAATGCAGGGCCAGATCTGATTTCCTTTGGGACTTGGGCTGCTCCGTCACTCAGCATCTCTGCAAATTGTGCAGTGTATATTGACAAATGTAAATTTTTATTTTTATAGCAAAGTGGAGCTTGCAGTGACACCAGATTTGAAGACAATCGTCTGTTACCACCCATCGCTTGAGATTCCGTATGAGTGTACAAAAGTATGTCCAAACAGAGAGTTAAATTTCCTGCTCATGTGAATGTATAATCAGCTCTTAGTGTGGAGTCTTTGGAGCATTTATTTAATTATTTATTTGGAATACTGAGGTACTTTCATACTGCATGACCAGAACACAGGTGCAGCGAGCGAGTGACGAATACAGCTGTTGTCATGAGGAGGAGTTTGCTTCTCAGTGAAGTGTGGGAGACTTGGGTTAAGAAATGCTCAGGTACCATGACATCCCATTAACTCAGATAAAGTGAGGCACTAAAATACTTGTGTACCACAGGAAAAAAAAATGCCTCAGAGCATGTTTTTCAAAGGGGCAATGTTTGATGTGCTTTGCAGTTTGCTCAACCTACCATGAACAGATGCAGCAGGCAGAGAAAGAGATATAGAGAAGAGCTGCTGCTTTCAGCTCTGGCAGTTTTCAGTTGCATTCAGGACTTGAATCATAAGCTCCACTAAAAGTTTTACATTTTAGAATATACTGAAATTTTACCCATCAGTAGTAATCTCTGCATGTTCCTGACACTGCAGCTTGAAGAAAATAAGTCTGGCACACCTTTGTAGTCAATATCCCTTCCCAGTTCTAGTGTGCTGGTAAAATACTGCAGTGGTATCTGTGCTGCAGAAGTGCACAATATGAGAAATCTCAGTTGAAAATGAAGTGTTTTAACATTCTTTTCCTGTAATTTACATATTGGTGTGTGTGTGTATTTATGTATGCATATTAAATAACAACCAGTTGCATGTCTTTAATAATAATAAAAAAAAGAATATTTGTAGCAGTGCCAATAGTAAAGTTATAAGTTGAGAATAAACATGTTGTTGTAACCTAATATTACAAATAGGAACTGACATTCTTCTCCAAGATAGAAATCTCATAAAAGCCTTTTTATCAATGTCAATGAGGATGACATTAATAAATTATGAGTAGGAATAGTATTAGTAGAATCCAAGCTTCTGTCTCCAGAGAATGGTGAGCATGAGGGAAGGGTGGAGGCTGAAGCGCTGCTTTAGGGGCAGGGTGATTATCAGCTCTAGCCACTGGAGTAAGGAGCCATTCCTAGGACGGTGCTGCTGGGGTGGGTGGGTTGCTGAACCTAGACTGCCTTCCCATTTGCAGATGTTGTTGTGAAGCCAAAGGAATATTTAAGAGTAGAGAGTACTAATATGGCTTGACTTTTACTCTTTTTAAAAAAGAAGAGGCGGGGGGAAGGATGTATATTCACTATTATCTTCGTAGCCCATACCACGGCCAGATCCAGTGAATAATAAAGAAGAAACCCATGATCAAGTATTGAAATCCAGACTGAATGAAAAGGAGCTACAAAACAGGAAGGGTCCTACAATTGAAGAGCTCAGCAAAATGTTTTACACAACAAAGCATCGCTGGTATCCAGTGGGACAGTAAGTATTTTCAGTGTCTGTCCTTTTAGAGATAAAAGACAATATAAGAATAATTTATTTGGATTGGATTCCACCCAGGATAATTCATTGTATGAACAAATATATTCTTAGCATATTGGCTACTACATAAAAATCTAAGTGTAGTGTTACGTAAACGAAAGATTGTAGGAGTTTTAAGTTGCAAAGGCTATCAAAGAGGGAAAGGGTCTTGGGGGGTAAATATGTCACTAAGTAGCACATAACTTGTGCACACAATTATCATCACATATGTATCACATAATCACATAATTTTCTCATTTCATTTAGTTAACTACTGTATTTTTTAATGTTGCATAAGTGAAATCGGCATAAGAAAATTTCATGTAAAATGCCATTGATGGACAAAACCAATTACAGCTTGAAAAAAGTCACTGTCTATTCTTTAGCTTTTAAAAAAAAATAATGAGATGGATTTCAGGTGATTTGTGTCTGTGGAAAACTTTGATTATCCTATTTGCAGAGTAGATAGAAGGAATGAGGTAGAATTCTTCATGGACAAAGGGTAACTGTCATTTCAATGAGCCTCAAACTGTATCTTCCTTGTTGTAGAGTGGGCAGTTAGAGGAAGGTAAGGATATAAATGCAGTTTTGTTGGAAAGACTTTTTTTTTTTTGCCTGAAAATATTATATTGTTTAAAGTTCAGGCTAACATACCTCCATTAAATGTGAAGCCTTTCTTCTGCCGCAGTCATTTTAACAAAGGAAAAGCTGATCGTAGCAGAATTAACTTCACGCAAAGCGTAAAGAATAAAGAGCAGCCTTTGTACCTAGTCAGCTGTAGAACTGACTGGGTTACTGTGTTCCCTTAGCAGCCATAGCAGTAGAAGGGAGTACCGCTGCGGAACTCTTTGAACAGCACAGGTAACAGCCAATGAACAGTGATGGGCTGTGTTTGTGTATCTTGTATTTTGCTTATTTGTATAACCTCTGTAATACTTTCTGGAAAGAAAAATCAGGAAAATCAAAGACTTGCCAGAGTTTGTGCTCACTGCAGCCCTTTTTTTTTCTTTTAGGTATCACAGAAGACGCAAGAATCCAAATCCTCCTAAAGAAAGATAATTAAGATAACTTTGTGTTCATTGACACTGTGTTATTAATTTGTATTGGAAATAAATCCAGAAAGTAGAATTTGTTTAATTGACTCTGCGTGAGTATTTTATGTAAAATATGCTTATCTAAATAAACTTGATGCCTATTTCTTTTTCTACTTCATCTAATTAACAGTAGAAAAACAGCAGAACTGTACAAATGAAATAAGGATTCTCAGAGAATACTGTGCATGTGGGGTCAGTGAATATACTAGTGTGTGAAATGGACGTAGCAGGTGATAGTGCTCTGATCAGACTGGGTCACAGGCTTATGAGAGTCAGCTCATCGGGGGTGAGTTGAATGCATGAAGTGGTATGTCAAAACCTGAAACCCACAACTGGACACCATGAATGGCTTTAGAAATCTATCAGCTGAAATGCAGGTGAGCTTGAATTTCACTAAGGTTTGAAGAATTTAAGGTGATAAGCAGCATGTACTGAAGACTGGCCAACTCGATTAAGCTTCCTGTGCCAAAGCATAATAATTTGCCTTTCAAAACCAAGCAGCATCCCAAATAGCTAGAATGCCTACGTGTGTGTGGTTTAATTCAACTGTTACTTGATAAGGATGCTATAGCTTACATAAAAATTGCATAGTTGTAGCTCAGGGCAGAAGTGTTCTTTGTCTTAGCTGGGTAATCATTTTTTTAGAACACCAATACCTAATTTGTGTTTAACGTTATTTACATTTAACACAAAATATCTTTTATTGAATTAATTTCAACTTTCAAATATTTTTCTTCTTCCCTCCCATAGATACTTTTCTCTATTGCTACCAAATACTAGCGAGACAGTTTGTTACCACATTATTATTATTATTGCTGGTGGTAGTGGTGTTTGTCTGTTCTTGCCTGTCAAACTTGGTTTAAAATCTTGGGTTTCTCCATGATTTCCAGACATTTTTAGATACTTAAGGGCTAAAAATGTCACTTGCGTACTGGACTGCTATCTTGAAATTATTTACCCTTCTGACTCATTATTGGAAACAGATTAAAACACACATTCACAGTATGAACACTTTTGTAATTTTGTTATTACATAATTCATTAATTGGATATTTCTTTCTCTGCTTTACTCTGCTTCCTCCTCCCCACCCCCAAACCCCAAATTTATTTTAGATAATCCAGAGCATAACCTGTTAAAATCCTATTTCTGGCTTTCCTGATTATTCTCCATGGATTGAACAACAACATAAAGATTGGAGCCGCAGAGGAGAATTCTTTAACTATTTGGGGTTTTTTTTCACTTTAAAATTTTAATTTAGAAATCCATCCATTTGCCCATTTCTATCCAAAAGGCTGGTCCACTTAAAAGTCAGCTTGAGGCTTGTGTTTGTTTTTTGTTGCCCTCGGTGCTTGTATTAACTGTGTAGTTTAAAAGCTTATGGAAAATTCGTAAGACACCAAAGCAGGCTTATTGTCTATGTATCCACCTTTAGACACTAAGGTGTTTGGTTTTTATCTAGTGTTTCAGACCTTCCTTGGTTCATTGCTGTGGATGTTGCACAGTTGGGTGTCTTTTATTCCTTCACCCTCATGAGTATTTTCTTTCATGCCTCCCTGAAAGCCTCCTTAGGCTTTGGGCGCCCTCCACCCCTGGAAGGACTAAAGGTTTGTCCTCAAAGTTCAGTGCCGTTTACATGGCCTGACGGATGTGCTGTGCGAGTGAAAGGGAAGCTCTTCTACTCTCCCTGCTTTGACCTCTAGCGGGGAGAGAGAGGAGGAGGAAAAAAAAAAAAAAAGAAGGAAGCGCCGGCCTTGCGTTTTCTGTGTGCGAATTTCATCATTGTGCAGGCTGCTGGTGCTGCCGCCAGGAGGCAGCCGCACGCAGTCACACGGCCCTGCACGTCTCGGGACTCGCGGAAAGCAGCGGAGTTAACGCTGCGAGGGAGGCGCGTGTTAGCCGGGCTTAAGCAAAGTGGGTTAAAAAGGGAAGTTTCTAGCTGGCTGCACCAAGGCCAGCACAAGATGAGAGGTTCGAGAAGGGTTGGATTGAAAAGACTCACAGGTTCTTTGGCAGGATAAATCTCCTGGTTCTGGGGGCAGGGGGGAAGAAAGGAAGGAAAAAAACATCAGGGGAGCAGTTACAGGGCATAAATGCTAAACGTGCCCATATGACAAGTTTAGTGTCTTTAGGCCTGGGTTCCTCCTCATTAAATAGAGGGAATTGCAATCCACCCTTTTCTGCCCCACCAGCTCAGCTATCCAGCCCTATAGAAAAGCCCTCATCTGTTTTGTTGCCTTTTCAACTGCCCTCTCTAAATTCCGCCCTGCTGCAACCAGCTCACAGCCGCGGCCCTGTGTGTCCCACAGTGACCGCTACCGTCTGAAACCACCATGGTGTTTTTAAACTATTCACATCATCATGAATTTTACCATCTGCACTGTTGTATTTTTTTCACATGCTCAGTCCATCCTCAAAACACTGTAAGATAAAGGGATCACAGAAATGTAGGTCCCAGTCCACTTGTGCTACTGCCAATGGGTGTTTTGCTCTAACGTAATAAATTATTTGATTTAAAGCTCACCAGACACAGCAATTGCTCACTAGAATCAACTTCAGGCAAATCCTTTGCCCGCAACTCATAAAAATTGGATTCATCTAGTAAGAAATATAGTCTCTAAGGATGAAATTAGTTTGTCATGATATAGGTATCCAAATCCCACATAAGCTCCAGCCTCCCGTCATAGACAAGGGGCAGGAGGAAAAAATAAATTAACCTCTCCAGAGAGCTATTTGTGGCATTTATGGTAGACTCTTGCTCTAAAACAAGAGGAACTGTCTTCTTAAGGTACCATTCTGTGTCAAGTGATGGTAAGGGTGCCCATGGAGCTTAACTGAGGCTTAGATGTCCAATTAGTGGATATCTAAAGAAAAATTTCTTACTAGAAAACCTAAAGACCACACTTAACAGAAAGCATTGTGTTGTTTTTTTTGGTAACCTAAGGGGAGCACATGTAAAAA